CGCCATCCCTTCTGTTGTGGCCCGCCGCTCGGGCCGGCGCGCGGTCCACGCCGAGGTGCTCGCCCGCCCGCCCTGCTTGTCTCTCTCCGTCGCTTCTCTTCCCTCTACCGCCCTCAGCCGTCGCCGCCGACGCCACTGTGAGTGCGGACCGTGCCCCCTGGCCCGCCACTACGTTCGGACCGGCCCCACCGCCATCGCCCGGGTCGCCGCAGCCGCCATGTTGGATCCCCCACATAAATAGAAGCAGGCCGCCGCGCGGACGCATGCGCAGACGGCAGACGCTCGCGTCCACAGTCGTGGCTGCGGCTCCCTTTTCCTCTTTTCCTCCCGACAGCCGGGAGTTCAGATGGGTGCGCGGAAGTGACGTCACGGACCTGCTCGTTTCCGTGGGAACGAGGACGCTGCCGGCGCCGTCGACTGGAGGAGTGTCGGGGTTTCCCAGCGGCTTCCGGAAGCGGCGGTACGCCTCGGAGGTGTCCTCGCGGGGTGGCGGGCGGCGGGTTCTGGTGTAGGCTCCGCGGTGGCGGGGTGCTGCGGGCTCCGGACCCACATACTCGCCCGCAGCCCGGCGCTGCGATGGGAGGAGGGAATGGCCAACTCCAGCCGATCCTGCTGGCCGCCTCCTTGAACCGCGGCGTTGACCCCGGAGCCACCATCTTTGGACCCCCACGCCACCATCTTTGGACCCCTGCCGGCTTCTAACGTTTTTGCAGTTGGAAAATTGGACAAGCAGATGAACGGTTCTGGGCTCTTTTAAACTGTTGAGGTTAATGGGAACCTTCATGAAAGCCTTTGAGGGAATTTTAGGTGGAGTACTGTGAACCCAGAGGAGTTAACTGGTAGCGCAGTAGTTAAATGCTAGGCCGCTAAGCGGAAGGTTGTCTCCCACCGTAGGAGGAAGATTGGCAGTCTGCTTCTGTAAATATTACAGCCTTGGAAACCCTGTGAGGCAGTTCTTCTCTGTTCTCTTCTGTCATAGGGCCATTGTGAGTTGGAATCCACAACAGTGGATTAGTTTTATTGGGGGAGGATTACTCTGAACCCACCCACAGCTGCCTCAGGAGGAAGGCCTGGCATCGAGCTGCCAAAGGTCACAGCATTGAAAACCCTATAGAGCGGTTCTGCTTTGAACACACGGGGTCGCCATGAATCAGGGACACCATGAGTCATAATCAGCTGAATGAAACGGCACCACCTGAAAGTAGAACACTAAAGGACAGATTGCAGTGTGGGGGCCGGAGAGGAGCCTGGATTAGCCGTGCCTGGTGAGCCCACCTGACAGACTAATTGGAATTCAGATTTATAAGGATGAGAATCACTGTCCGTTCACTGCCCGCTTTTATAGGGTTCATTAGAAAGTACATTTGAGGGCTCAGGAATTCACGCGGATGTTAATTACAATCACCAGATTAACAGTGCCTCCTGATGACTCCTGAGTCAGTGTGACATCATAGACAAATTCTGAGTTCTTTGTGTTTTTGCTCTCCTGTTACTTTGCTCAATGAAAGGTGATCCAACGCAGTGTGGAAATTATCAAATCATATCATTAATATCACATGCCAGTAAAATTTTGCTGAAGATAATTCAAAAACAGTTGCAGCAGTACACTGACAAGGAGCTGCCAGAAATTCAAGCAGGATTCAGAAGAGGGCACAGAACAAGGTATATCATTGCCGATGTCAGATGGATCTTAGCTGAAAGCAAAGAATGCCAGAAAGATGTTTAATTGTGATTTATTGACTATGCAAAGGCATTTGACTGTGTGGATCATAACAAATTATGGATAATATTGCAAAGAATGGGGATTTCAGAACACTTAATTGTGCTCATGAGGAACCTGTATGTAGACCAATAGGCAGTTGTTCATACAGAACAAGGAGATACCGCATGGTTTAAAATAAGGAAAAGTGTGCATCAGGGTTGTATCCTTTCACCATATTCAACTTGTATGCTGAGCAGATACATCATCAGAGAAGCCAGATTACATGAAGAAGAATGCAGCATCAGGGTTGGAGGAAGACTCATCAACAACCTGCTTATGCAGATGACACAGCATATTTGCTGAAAATGAAGAAAACTTGAATCACTTACTGATGAAGATCAAGGACTATAGCCTTCAGTAAGGATTGCCTCTCAACATCAAGAAAACAAAAATCTTCACAACTGGACCAATAAGCGACATCTTAATAAATGGAGAAACGACTGGAGCTATCAGAGATTTTGTTTTACTTGGATCCACAGTCAACACTCATGGAAGCAGCAGCCTAGAAATCAGATGTGGTATTGCACTGGGCAAATCTGCTGCTAAAGACCTCTTAAAAGTTTAATAGCAAAGATGTCACGTTGAGGACTAAGGTGCACCTGACCCAAGCCATGGTATTTTCAGTAGCTTCATATGCATGAGAAGGCTGGATGGTGAATAAGGAAGACCACAGAAGAACTGATGCTTTTATGGTATTGGTCAAGAGTATTTTAGGTACTATGGGCTGCTAGAAGGATGAACAAGTCTGTCTTGGAGGAAGTACAGCCAGAATGTTCTTTAGGAGCAAGAATGGCCAGACTTCATTTCTCATACTTTGGTCACATTGTCAGAAGAGACCAGTGCATACAGAAGGATATGCTAGGTAAAGTTGGAGGGTCAGCAAAAAGGAGGAAGACTCTCAATGATGAGGATTGACACAGTGGCTGCAGCAATGGGCTCAAGTATAGCAAGGATTGTGAAGGTGGCACACTGTTTCGTTCTATTGCACATAGGTTCATTATGAGTCAGGACCAACTTAATGGCACCTAACAGCATTACTTTGCCCTGGTCAGGCAGTGGTTAAAACGCTCAGCTGCTAACCAAAAGGTGGGCGGTTTGAACCCACCATCTGCTCCTTGGGAGAAAGATGTGGCAGTATGCTTTAGTAAAGATAACAGCCTTGGGAACGGTGTGCAGCAGTTTTACTCTGGCATGTAGGGTTGATATGAGTCAGAATTGACTGGAAGGCCGTGAGTTTGGTTTTTGGATTACTTTCCTGATGTGTAAGATGATGGTGATGGAGTTGATTCAAAAGATCCTTCCAGCTCCAAAGTGCTGTTCCTTTTCCTTGGCACCATTTGACCTTCATCACCCTCCTTCCCATGGCTCCTCTTCTCATTCTGAGCTCAGATCTCTGCATAGTAGCACTGAGGTGACCTTTCTGCGCTCAGTGCCTATTCCTTCCAGTCTTGCAAAGGGGCCATCTTAATGTTTCTAAAACATTAGTTGTTACTATATCATTCTCTGTCCTAGCTATCAACTTACCAACAAAGTAACTTCTATACTTAACTTGCATTCAAAATTCTCAGTAATTTAGCTCAGAGGCTGCAAACTGGTGGCCTGTGGGCCCAATCATTCTGTAAATATGTTTCCTCTCAAACATTCCACCACAACAGCAGAGTGAGAGCTAGACTTCACATGGTGACCCAGGGCACACACAGACTCATACATCCCTCAAGTGTCACAAGACGATACTTACCGTGTAGAATGAAGTCAAAACAAGGGAGTTAATATAAACACATTTTGTAGAAACATCTCAGCACAAAAATAATGCAAAAGAAAATTAGTAGAAGGTCCTGGACAGAATGAGAGAAAAATGTTGGAAAAAAACTCAATTTTCTGAAAACAACCAGACCTATTGGACCGATAGAGACTAGAGGAACACCAAGAGTATCACCCTAAGATCCCTTTAGACGTGGATCTGAAGCCATTCTTGGAGGTCACCTTTCATCTAAATAATAGATTGGCTTCAAAAATAATATCACCTGTGAGTACTGTGCTCCCTTAAATAATCAACTCCATGAGACCAAGTGGTCAACATTGACCCTAAAGCAAAGATGAGTAAGGAGGAGGGGCAGAGCAGCTAGATCAATAGAAACAGAACAAACAAAATGGCAATCATGAGAACCCTAACACATTGTGAAAACTGTAACCAATGTCATGGAACAATTTGCATCAAAGTTGTTAAATGGGAACTTAATTTGCTATGTAAATGTTCACCTAAAATAGTAAAATACCATTCTTTTTGAAAAGCATGTTAGGAAAGCTTTTAGTTAATGCCATGAAAGCCCTTGCCATTCATAAATTTAGTCCAGTCCAGCACGTATCAGCATGGTGCCACGTGAGCGTGGTGCCGAACATGCATCTGGTCTACTCTTGAATTTGCTCTTTTTCTTTAAACAGCTCGGAATTGGAAATGCTGTTTCATGTACATTTGTTTAGCGGTTAGGTGTCATCCAGTTGATTCCAGCTCACAGCAACCCCACGTGACAGAGTAGGACTGCCCTCGTATAGGGTTTCCTAGGCTGTAATCTTTACGAAAGCAGACCACCAGGTCTTTCTCCCATGGAGCAGCTGGGTGGGTTTGAACTGACAACCTTTTGATTAACAGCCAAGTGCTTTCATTGTAAATAATGTCAGTCCACTTTCTCAATAAAAAGTTCTTTAGTCTTCATCTAACATCAAAAAAATTTTTCTGGCTAGAAATCATTTTTCTGACTTAAGGAAGAGCTAAATTTCAATAGTTTATTCTCAGAGCACAAGTGTAATTCAATTATTTAAGGTTTTGAAAAACAAATGAATGCTATCCCAGTTGTTAATGTTCTATGTTTCAAATTGCCATCTGTTTTTAGCTGTTTCTAGCAATTTTTTAATATCAACATTGTGTTTCCTGATCATACTTGCTCCCCCATCACCTGCCACCCATTTATAACATGTTTGATTTATACCACTACTTTCTAATTCCAAGTGTATTTTGTATCCACACAGACAGACAGTAACTCCTGAGATAGTTGTCTTGCTGCACAGATCTGGCATAAAAGTGATGTAAAAGGGTTATACTCTCAATAAAATATCTCTAGAAGTGAATTTCCAAAATGAAAGGTGATCTGAAGGGGAGCCCCTGGAGTTTAAGGATAGAAGACTCTTCACTGCACACCCTTTGTTACCTTTTGAATTAGGAGCCATGTAAGTATATTACCTACTCAAGAATATATAATAACAATTGCATTGAGTCCATCCATTTAAAGCAACTTAAGTTTGTGATTCATTATAACTCTACAATGTGTTAACATGTCTGAAATTTATGAATAATGGGCAAATAAATATCAAGTAAAAATGAAGGAAGAAAAAACTCTGTAGTTCATAGCCACTTTATGTGTGACAGGTCAACACTGGAAACAAACCAGTTGTCCTTGATGGGGAATGGATAAACAAACATACAATAGGATACTGCAGTGAAACCCAGGAGAGCCAGAGTTGACCAGATGGCATTGTATTGCCGGGTCTCACAAGTTTTCTGCCTTGGACAGGGTGCAGTCTTACCACTTTTTCTATCATTCCTTTTAGCCGAAAACAGTTGAGTTTTCCTGCTCTGACAGGTGTCTACCTTGCACAGGTTCTGGCCTTTGCAGGTCGTAAGTTCTACTATAAAGAAATGCAAGGGAATGAATTATTGATACATGAAACCATTTTGATAGATCTCAAGGGCATCATATGAATGGAAAAAGAGCCAATTTCAAATGATTCCATACTGTATGATTCCATTTATATAACAGATGATAAAATTATATGACAGAGAACATGTGTCAGTGGTTACCAGCGGGTGGGGTTGAAGGGAAGGTGTGACTATAAAAAGGTGTGGCGAGGGGACAGTTCTGTACTGTGATGGTGGTGGTGGACACACGTGTGATAGCATTTCATAGAACTAGACACGTGTAAAAACTGATGACGTTCATTTATGGTGATAGGAAAGGTGACACCAAGTGTGGGTGAAATTTGCACAGCTTGACAAATATAACTGATGTCAATAAGCTGTGCATAAGAAAAAAGGATGACCCTCTAAGATGCCGCTACTGGTCTTTCCTTGTCCAGAGCAAAGAAGAATGAAGAAAACCAAAGATGCATGGAAATGATTAGTCTAAGGGGACTAATAGACCATGCAAACCTCAGCCTACATGACCCTGAAACCAGAAGAACTAGATGGTGCCCGACTACTACTGTGAGCCACTCAGAAAGGGATCAATATAGAAGGTCATGGATAGAGTGGGAGAAAAGGATGGAACAATACTCAAAATCATAAAAATGACCAGAGTTACTGGTCTGATAGAGAATGGTGAGACCCCTGAGACTGAGGCCCCTAGTCACCCTCCAGGCCTGGAATTGAACTCACTCCCTGGCTTAACCTTCAGCCAAACAATAGACAGGCCTATGAGGTGAACAATTACACCAGGGAGGTACACTCCTTAGAACAATTAAACATGGGTGATCAGAAGGGCAGTAGTTGCACAGGGAGATACCTCAGAAGGCAGGAATGCATAGGAAAGGAGGACACAGGGAAGAGATAACCACAGGGAAGAAGTGAGATGAGAGATGTTATATTACTGGGATTGCAATCAATGTCACTAAACAAAATATGTATGAACTGTTGAATGGAAAACGAATTTGCTCTATAAACTTTCATTCAAATCACAATAAAAAGTTAAAAAATAATTGGTAGTGCCTAAGGCACTTGACTGCTAATCAGAAGGCTGGTAGTTCAAACCCACCAGCCACTCCTCAGATGAAAGGTTGGGCAATCTACTTCCATAGAGAAGAAAGGCAAGGTGGGGTCTCTATGAGTCACAATCTACTTGACAGCAGTGAGTCTGTTTTGGTGTTTTGGATATATAAGGAGCTCTGGTGGCCCAGTGCCTAAGGCATGGGACTGCTAACGAGAAGGTTGGCGTTCCAAACCCACCAGCCACTCCTCGGAAGGAAGATGGGGCAATCTACTTCCATAAAGATTGACTGCCTTGGAAACTCAATGGAGGTTGCTATGAGTCAGCAAGAGGGGGAGGGGAGGTTACAGATGCTGATATTAATAGACATAACCAGTCTCCTAACAGGATTAGTTCTCTTGGTTTGAAGGCTTAGGTCACAGTCTTATGGGACAAACCAGTCAATAGGCTTAATATTGTTCTTAAAGTTTATGTTCTGCCTCGCAGTATGGTGAGCAGTGCCTGGAGTCTTAAAAGCTTGTAAGCTACCATCTTAAGATATAACTGTGTCCATTCATCTGGAACCAAAGAGAAAGAAGGAAACTCAAGAATCAGAGTAGGAATGGACCACAAGACTGTCTGCATAAACCAGTCTCCTCCATGTTGGGACCAGAAGCAGATGGTGCTCAACTACTACTACCAAACATTCTAATCAGGGACATAATCTATGGATCCTGACAGAAAGGGAGAAAAATGTAGAACAGAACATAAATTCTTAAAGAACTTAGGCTTGCTAGCCCTCTTGAGGCTCAAGGAATCCCTGAGAATATGGCCCTGAGATACTGTTCAAACCTGGAATCAAAATTATCCTCTGAAGTCACCTTTAAACTAAGGAATGTTGTTGTTGTTAGGTGTTATTGAGTCACTTCCGACTCATAGTGACCCCATGCACAGCAGAACGAAACACTGCCCAATCCCACTCCAGCTCCATGATCCCTGCTATACTTGAGCCCATTGTAGCAGCCACCGTGCTAATCCATCTCATGGAAGGCCTTCCCTTCTTTCGTTGACCCTCCACCTTACCAAGCATGACATCCTTCTCCAGGGAATGGTCCCCTCTGACAACATGACTGAAGTAGGTGAGACGAAGTCTAGCCATTCTCACTTCCAAGGAGCATCTCAGCTGCAGTTCCTCCAGGACAGATCTGTTCCTTTGGCAGTCCATGGTGCCTTCAGCATTCTTTACCAGCACCACAACTCAAAAGCATCAACTCTTCTTCGGTCTTCCTTATTCATTGTCCAGCTCTCACATGCATATGAGGTGATTGGAAATATCATGGC